GGTTTAAAAAAAAAAAAAAAAAAAAAAAAAAAAAACCTGGGGTTACTTGTGAGGAGCCCCAGTCTATTAGTGGGGGGGCCATGCTAAATCTTCTCTATCTCTTTCCAATTTTAACGGAGGTCCTGAGGGACTTCCGCAGCAATTGCTTTTGAAGTCGAACAAGCAATTCCACAAAGCCCGTCCCCTTCTCCCCCCCTTCTTCTTTCCAATCAAACCACCAGACTGTTCATGTTTCCCCGCCATGAAATAAAATATGCAGCTTGTATACCGGCATGACTTTTGGGCCTGGCCCGCAAGAGCAAAATGGCTGGCGGCACAAGCCAAAAGGAGACCTGTGCCGGCTCGTTTTTCTTTGGTGTGCAGTTCGTCCCTGGCCTCGGCGAAAAGGGTCTCGGAAGTGCTGTCCCACTTTTCAGGGATGTGGGCCATCATGTGGCGGTCAGCTGGTCACATGTCCTGCCTGCACCCTACGCTTTGGGTGGTATCCCTGCCCACAGTGCCCCGTGCTGAAATTCAGGAGAAACCGCTGGCCAGTCCGTCCAAAAAGGATACTATGATGGCTCTATATGGTGTGAGTGCCAGAATTCCGTTGTCGTCACCATCAATAATATCCACATTTGCATTAATTTATGAATTTACGATGATAGCTGTCATCAGACTCATCACCATATCATCAAAGAATCATATGGCGATGACGTCCAAGTTCCAACAGATGTCTCCTCACCGCACAGTTTTGATGCGTACTCCGTACGTGGGGTACGTCCCACTGGCAGGCGTCTAATCTTCCTTTCGAGCATTTGTCTTTTTCTTCTTCTTCTTCGTCTTCTTCTTCTTCTTTTTTTTTTTTTTTTTTTTTTTTTTTTTTTTGTTGTTGTTGTCACTGTGGCCGCAGTGAGGCCATGAGATGTTCAGATTGGGTGGTGGCTCCAGTCGGTGCGTTTTCAAAATCAAGTCTAAACCCCAGCTAGTGGGACTTGGGCCCGCGGCTCTCCACGCCACCCTCCAAATGTGCAAAATGACCATATCCTTCCTCTACAGCAGTAGAAGCCCAGACGTCTACTATACCAATTTTCTTGTCCCAGAGAGAGCGAGAAATCAAATTCATTGTAGGCACATAATAAGCAAGGCCAGAGCAGGAGGGAGATCCCACTACCGATGTATGTGGAGTAGCGGATTTGGCGTGTGACCCTTCGGCGCCGTTCTCATGAGAACGGTGATCAGTGGTGTTGTTTTTCTTTTGTTTTCGGCGTGGGGAAACATATGACTTTTGGGGGGCTCCCATTGGGTGGCATTTCTTTTGCTTTTGTTGTGGTGCTCCTCTGGGGGTCATGAACGTGCGTGAAAATCATACCAACTTTTTTTGGTTGGATTTTCACACACCTTCCACTTACGTTTGCGTCGTTGCCCATGCGTTCAAAAGAGGCCGAAAATGAAGATGTTCCCCTTTTCTCATCATGAAGGGATGTCAGTTGATGTCAGAGTCTTCCACAACTTGTATGTCATTCCAAGCCTCTCGTTGGGGAACGTTAACAAATGTGTGTTGGCCTCGTGTACATGGTCCATGAACCGCCCACATGCACAACATACCAGCGGAATCATCAGAAGATCCACAACCTGACAGCTGACCGCAGTTCGCGGCGGGTGGACAACATTGCGTTGTCAGAATTGCGGCATTTTGTTTTTTTCAACATTTATCGCGGAGTAAAGGATGCCACACGGATGTCCCCCGCACGTCCCGCAGCCGTCACACTACTCCACATACATCGTTAGTGGGATCTCCCTCCAGGGCTCGAACATTTCGTCATTGGGATGCCTACAATTTGCCTTTTTTTTTTTTCTTTTTTTTTTGAACAAACTCCGATCTACTCATGGTGTGACTGGCATCCCTTTAGAAAACCAAGTAGTAAGTACAATCGTTTTTTTTTTTTTTTTTTTTTTTTCCCCAGAGACCCTGGGTTCATTACCCAGCAATGACTATATGGAAAGAAAATGACACGAGGCCGAGTACTGCCGGAGCACTAACGGATTCTGCAGGCTGGGGAGTCATGGGAACAAGGGTAGAGACTCGAGAGTGCTTTTCCTACAGTTTTTTTTTTTTTTTTTTTTTTTTTGAACTCCTTCCAGGCTACTAGGGGTGCTGATATGAGCAGACACCCCTAGTACCGTGGGGGGGAGGGGCTCCATCCTTTGGTGGGGAAATACACCTGCTGGAAAACGGGTCCAGCGTCCCATATACAATGTGTGAAAATGTCTCGAGACAGCTATACAAGAGAGTTTTTGCGACTTCCTTTGTAGAGTTCAAGTTAGTGGAGCCATGAAAAAAAACTCTACAAAATTATATAGTGGAGACTATTGGAGAGAGACCAGCGTAATAACTGAGGGCGTACCCACACTACGACTATCTTCAACCGCCAGTACACGGCCCCAGCCTTGCGAAAAGTCGCCTACAAAATTTTCGGAGGCCCAGCGCCGTAGATAAATCGAATTGGCGGTGGGCGGCCTTTGGAAAGGGGCCCCGGCCGATAGCTGGATGTACTGGTGGTTTAAAGTTTAAACCACCAGTACTTGGCCCAGCTATCGGCCACGGAAAAGAAATAGAGTAGAAACGTTTCTACTCGGATGAATTTGGGCGCTCCTGTAGTGGCCCGTATGTTTCCTAAAATCATTCGTGGCTTGTTTACGGGCACGACCTGAGGAACTACTGATGGTTTAAATGTACCTGGCTGCATAGGGCGGGGCCTTGATGCATTGTTGAGTATGTCCTGAGCCTGCTATCTGGCTACCCAACCAAAGCACTCCACCGCTGCAAGCTGCAAAATATGGAGGCCATACTCACACTGGTATTTTGAGTGAAGTTATTACTGGACTGATATCACGATGCTAGGACATTTACTTATTTCTGGATGTACTCTTAAGTCCAGATATATAACTGGTGTGTGTGGCCCTAAATGTGGTCACATACATGTAAAATAGAGCTGGTGTGAGGCTCTGGGCCGGGTTGACATTAGGTCGCCTTTTTTTAAGGAGAAAATGGGAGTATTTGCAGCGGTACCCTGTATATAGCCTTAGGTGTGCATCTGACTGCACTTGCGGCCTCACCACCAGTACCTACCGGTTGGGGCGGCCGTTAACGCGGAAGCCGAATCCGCCTGCCCCTCTGGTCCAAATTCATTCGAGGCGGGGGGTACGAAAAATGTGGTAGGTAGGGCTTAGTGTACACTGTACATAGACAACTACAATGTGCTGGGACGCTGGACCCGATTTCCAGCAGGGGCGAGGTCCCACCAGCAAAGAGCTGGTGCGAGGCTTTGCTAGTGGGACCTCGCTCCAGGCCAGGTGACGCTACCCACCGTGACTACCGTCTTCCCCCGAACACAACGAACCCCTATTTTGGCTGTATCTGGCCGGAAATATAGCTTGTATACATTCATTTTTAGGGTGCGTTATGTTCGGGGGAAGACGGTAGTAGATGGAGCCTCCATCGCGGTGCTACCGTCAACGCACCCTCATTTTGAGTGCACCGGACCGGAAACCAAGCCTCTATACCTTCATAATTATGGTGCGTTGTCTTCGGGGGAAGACCGTATCGTGGGGAAGACCGTATCCGTGCCTGCTCTTATCAGCTCCCCTAGCATCTACCCCGGTGCTCTTTTAATGAAAAAAAAAAGAAAAGAATAAGAAAAAATACGAAAGAAAAAAAGAACAAAAAGAATAAAACAGAGGGCTTAGGCCTGGACCCCACAGGACGAAATCGTGGAAAAGTCCTGGAAAAGATGGCCTGGAAAACTTTTCCGGGATTACATCGGAAGAAGATGGCCGTCTGGAAACTCGATTGTGGGAGTTTCCGGCTGTTTTCGGAGACCCCACCGCATCGGAAAGGTTGTTCGGAAAAGTGGAGTTCCGTGTTTTCACATTCGTATCGTGGTGTCGTGGCGGCACGTCCCGTGGTCCTTGCAGTCGGTAGACGGACTTCCTGTTGTCACCCACAAACGACTCCCCGCCAGGGCGAGTGGTGGAGGGGCGGTGAGGGCCGCCGGTTTTTCGAATTCGAATTCGAATTCGAAAACTGCCGATTGTACGAGGATGGGCGTCAAGCAGGCTGTGGTCCAATTCGCATGCTGTGCAGACAGCGGACGTCCCTTGCCGCCTGTGTGCACAGCGGGGTGAGAATCCTGGTCCCCCAAGTCTCGCGGACTGCCTCCTCCATCCGCTGCCATGCGTTCCATCGCCAGCGTGTTTCGTCGAAGCATCGCTGACTGCCTCGACGTCCATGGCCTCCGGCGGTGTGTACCACCGGGTATGAACGGGCGAGTGGCTGCGCAGAGGCAATGCAAGTCCTTCATGCTCCGGGGAAGGACAGATGCCATAGCACAGCCGCTCATGTTCGTCCGTCGATTCTCCGTTCCTCCGGTGTGTGCTTCCAAGGTGTCGACCTTACCATTTCTGAAATCGCACTGCCCGACGAACGTCTTGCCGGCTTTACGACCCAACACCGTCCCCGCGCTGCCATCACGTCCTCCTCGGCAGATGCTGTCGGTGGTAGATGGTGTTGGTGACACTGCATCTCGGTTCCCCTTCGCCATCTCCAAAGATCGGCATACCATCCTTGTGACGAGCAGCGGGGAAGCAGTCCCTGCGAGGCAGCGCACGGTCCGCGAGTGCACGGACTGCGCTGCGACACAACGACCGGTGGTGATCATCGTTTCGTGCGTGCCCGACAGCAGTCGCCGGTCAGTGGTCGGCCAAGCCATCGCGGGGGTCGTCGTCGTCCTTTGCATGCTCCTTTGTTTGGCCGCCATAGCCATCGTCTGTCTGACCGTGTGCTTGATCGCCGCTTTGCGGTTCATGTTCTGACTTCGAGAGGGTAAGGAGGTGCAGCTGCCCTGCCCGTAGCCGTCCGCTCGAAAACAGCCGTTGTGGGCAAGGGCGGAACCCGTACGCGCGGCGTCGCTCAACAACGCCGCACTTGACGCCCCGTGCTGTCGCACGCCACACTCGGAAGTCCTGCTGGTCTGTCGAAGCAGGGGCGGACATCCATGACCGCGCGGCGCGGTCCACTTGCATTTTCCAAACTTTCCAAGCTCCTGGAAACTGCGTTTTCCAGCCTCTCCGGTGGGATCCCTCCTTTCCGCAGGCGAACTTTTCCAGCCGGGTTTCCATGGAAACCGAAGTTGGAAACATTTCTCGGGTTTTCCCTGTGGGGTCCAGGCCTTAGTGTAAGTCCTGAGACTTCCCGAAAAATCCTGAGACTTCCCGAAAAAAAGTAAGTAAAAGAAATAAGGCCTGAGACGTTGTTGGCAGGTAGTTAGGGACTACCATTACGGACATCCTTCTTTACAGTTTTTGCTTTTGGCTGCCCAACGAATTGAGCAGCCGACAAAAATTCCGATAAGCTGCTTGTATGTGCTCAACCCACGGTATTCTTTAGTAAAAGGCGAAAGAATAGTACGCCCTCTGAGCTGGGCACGCAGCTGGACATGATTATGATTGAGGTAGAGCGGCATATATATACAAAGGAAGAAGGTGAGGAGGCTGGGCTGTCTGGCCACTGATGAGAATGAGCACCCTGATCTTGGTTATGGGTGGGAAACATACAGCCTACGGTAGTTTCACCAATGATTCGGCATAAGGATTCTAGGCAGACAGGTTGTCCAAATGCATTCATAATCCTGTTGGCGCATCGGGGGTTTGTCCAACTACCAGGTCTGTACTCAGAGGGCCTTGCTCCACCAGACTGAGTCACCAAACGTGCAAAAGGAGAATGAATCTTCGCGTAGAATATGGAAAAATACACCGCCATACTCTTTGTCTTTTGTCTTGTGGTGCATGTGGTGAGGAGCGGCCAAACTTTCTGGCGGCCGGAGGTGTATGCATCTGGCCGCAATTCCGTCAGCATTCATCTTTTTTTTTTTTTTTTTCCCTTTCGTTTTCATAGTGGAAATAAGTGGAAAACTGCTACATAGTGTGAGTATGCCCTTAGTAGGCCTGAGCTAAGTCAGCATTCATCGTTTTTTTTTTTTCGAACAGCATTCATCTTCGTGGCTGCTCAACTCGTTCTGCTTTTTTTTTTCCCCCTTTCTTTTTCACGAATTCATTTCTCATTGTAGAGGGGGGCCGGCCACCCCACATAAAGGCCGGTTCTGGGAGCCTTACCCAGCTTCGCTTTTTACACAACTTCAGGACAAATCCAGTGGAAGGGGGGCCCTGGCTCCACTACACAATACTCTAGTACATGCATTTGGATGCTTTCTGGACTATGTTCGCAGCCTGTAGGGGCTGAAGGGGGGCCCTGGCTCCACTACACAATACTCTAGTACATGCATTTGGATGCTTTCTGGACTCAGTTCGCAGCCTGTAGGGGCTGCATTTACCGCGGCCCTTGTCTTTGTCCTTTTATCTCCTGGACTTCAATGGTCGTTGGGCGTCTGATGGTAGTTGTCATGTATGGCAGTTGGGCGTCTGATGGTAGTTGTCATGTATGGCGGTCGTCAGGAAGGTGGTGGGATTACTAAAGAGGAGTTTTTACTGTGGGCAATAGATGCCATGGGCAATCTATGGGCGGCCCGAATACATGGGCCGCGTCTGGAATTTGGAGTGCCAGCCTCCGGAGAGTCGCGGATGTTCTCTGATGTTCCCCGATTACATTTTGTACATGGGACGCTGGACCCGTTTTCCAGCAGGTGATGCTCCCCACCAATAGATGGAGTCTCTCCCAGGGTGGTAGTGGTGTCTGCCCTTATCAGCACCACTAGCACCAGTGGGGGTGTTTTTCTCAACAAAAAAAAAAAAAAAAAAAAGAGTCGCCGAGACCAGTAGGTTGTATGGATGGGTCTTTTGAGGGTTGGTTTCTTTTTCACCGCGGCTTTGGTTTTTGTGCGGCTTTGGTTTTCGTTCTTTTCTTTTTCTTTTCGTTTGCATTTCCGTTCTTCTCATCTCTGTTTCTTTTTTACTCTTTTTTATGAGCTTGTTGCTAGCGTCTTTGGAAAGGCACCATCTGCGGCGGAGTCATCACAGAAGCTTTTGTGGGAGTGGGACAAGTCTCCTGGTTGTATGTGAAGTCGTCACAGAAGCTCATCGCAACGAATATCTCTCATGAACATGGAACCATGCACTTTTTTTTGGGGGGGGGTTAACTACGGCGGAGTCACGAAACAAGTTTGTAAAGGCATTTGGAACTGCCTTTTAGCAGTCCAAGAGCCTAGCTCAGTGGGTACACCCATGAAGTGGCATGAACTGTTGAAATACAGATCTCTGTTCGATGATGGCACTTGACAGGTGAAACCAACTACTAATGAATTGTTTGGGGCCGGTGAGCTTAATGATAATATCTCAAGGCCGTCGCCCTTTAAAAAAACAAAAAGTCCAGACAGGGCCCGAGTTTCAAATACAGCTGAAACTCGGGCTGCCCATTGGTAGCACTTCAGTCATGAACGGTACCGGTACTGTCCCGGCCTTTCTTTTCCCTTCCGGGCCTGACACTACAGCCAAACCCTGTAGTTATTACACCGGGAGTGTAACTTCTTCTTCTTCTTCTTTTTTTTTTTTTTTTTTTTTTTTTTTTTAAGTCCAGGGTGTTGTAGAGGCCAGTCAGTGTGTGCACAGTGATCACCTGGAACTGTGAGCCTTGGGTGTCCTGGAATATGGGACCACCTCCCATCCCATACTCACGTCAATACTCCTAGCGCACCCCCTATCCCACTATTCTGTCTCAGTGTGACCAGCACTCAGGACCATTGCCCTACCAACGGGCAGGCAACTTGGACCGAACAGCAGCGATAGGCACCAGGGCTGATAGATTGCCCAGCCCTGGTGGAAGCGGAATTGGACAAACCTTGTCGAACAGGAACTTCGGACGCCAGGCCCAGACAATGAACTACAGGCCCCATATACATATATAGCCACCAGACAGTTCTATCCGAATGTCAGTAGGAACTGCACCCAATGGCACCCTACCCAACCTACCTGAACCTACTGCAGGCACTTGAACCCACCAGTGTAACTTCCCGCGGTCTGGCAGGAGATTCATTCTCATTTTGGAAGGGGCCACATCAGCGGGAGCCTACACACACACACACACACACACACACACACACACACATACAAAGAGAGAGAGAGAGA